ATAATATATAAAAATATATGGCTCTTTTCGTCTATTAGACGGTCAGAGCTGATTTTAAATTGACGATTTTTTGGTCAATTTATGGTATCTGGATTTTATACGTATTATAATACTCCAATCACTTGTAAATCTAAAAAAGTGCTTACTCTTTGTGTTACAATCATCATCTTTCAGATTTTCTGTCCTAGAACTTTAATTTTGCCGGTTGTTTAACAGAAAGTCTTTAAAAAAAAATCAAAACTTCAATTTTTGATGTTTTTTCTCATCTACTTTTTCATTTTCTTTCTGATTCCAATGAAATTTGCAGGGCTTGTTATTCAGACCATAACCTAACTTTATACAGGTGGAAAATAATATCGATGCATTCATAAGTGAGTTACATGGATGAATATGTAATCGAATTCAGAGGCATGAAGGGGTACGTCAGTTATCCATCTATAACTTATTTTTCCTATTAAAAATATCCCAAATCCCAACTTTATAACATTTTGTATTGAGTTTATCTATCAATGTGTTGGTAAATAAAAAATCTTTTTTTTTTACTTTTATGAAAGCTGTTTATTTTTAATATGGCGGCCGTTCCCATGGTAACCGTAGACTAAAAAAAATGAATTAACGTTACATTTTAGAGATGTTTTCCTGTTATACCTCCATGCTATAAGGCTTTATCTGAAAGGTCATAATTAGCTATATAGGTTTATAAATCAACCCCCCATCTCCCCCCTTAAGATGGTCTCAAGGTTGTCTTCATGCAGCTTCTTTCATGGCCAGTTCTTCCTATGTTTGACGTGCAGATTCTGTCGCAGTGCTTGCATGTCAGTGACGTGGATCGAAGCTCTGTATTTCCGCTGTTTTCCTTTCGTTGTTGGCGCTTCTCAGCCTGGTTGTTTCTAAAGCTGCTCTCTAGCGTTATAGTTCTTTCCTTTATCATTTTCCTCCATGTTTTCCTGTCCTCACCTATTTCTTCCTAGGTGCTAACATTCACTCCAAGCTTAGATAAGCTGTTTTTGCAGGTGTCTTTGTACCTCAAGTTTGGTCTTCCTCTTGGTCTGTTTCCCTGTGCAAGTTCTCCTTAGAGAAGTTGCTTCGGAATCCGGTTTTCGTCCATTCTCTTGCCATGGCCCAGCCATCTCAATCTTTTTTTAAACTCAGGACAGTTCTCATGTTCTGGAGGTTTGCCCTTGCATACACTTCAGCATTTGTAACCTAGTCACATTACGAAATGCCTAAGATCTTGCGGCAGGATCTGAGAAGGAAAATGTCGAGGCGCTTTTCTTGTCTGCTGTACAAGGTCCATGTTTCAGATCTATAAAGAAGTGTGCAGAGGACACATGCTTCGTAAATCTTGATCTTTCTTTTGATGGTTAATCTTTTGTTTTCCCATGCTCATTTTGTCAGCCTTCGGAAAGTTGTTGCTGATTTCCCTATCCTGATGTTGATCTCATAATCAAGTGATGCAGTAGAGCTGATGGTAGTCCCCCCAGGTAACAGAACTTGTCCACTGTCTCAAGTCCCCTGTCTTTTAGAAATATATGGCTCTTCACTGCACCTTCTTGAGAAAGGATGACTGTTTTGTTGATACTGATGACCAAGCTAAAGACCTTGCAGGCTGTTGATAGGCGATCCACTATTGTTTGTAGTTTTGCTTCACTGTGGAAATAATAATAATAATATAATAATAATAATAATAATAATATAATAATAATAATAATGATAATAATAATAATAATAATAATAATAATAATAATAATAATAATAATAATAATAATAATAATAACAACAACAATAATAATAATAATAGTAGAAAATAAAATAATAATAATAATAAATAATAATAATAATATTGACAAAATCATTAAATTTTCCCCATTGGGTGTGAAAATGTCGGTGTTTTTTTTAGATTTTTGACGAGCGCCTGGTTTCACCATGATGCCACTCATCCAAGTCGTCGTAGAGGAATATTTTCAAACCGCTGCGATTGGTTCCCCGGCACAGAGGTTCCAATTACTAAGCCGCTGGGAGAGACTTGCCGGGGATAAGGGGTTAAAAATTTTATATCTCTCTCTGTATCTCTCTCTATGTATCTCTCTCTCTCTCTCGCGCTCTTTCTCTCCCCCTCTCTCCCCCCCTCTCTCTCCCCCCCTCTCTCTCTCTCTCTGTCTCTCCCTCTCTCTTTTTCTCTCTCTGTATCTCTCTCTGTATCTCTCTGTGTATCTCTCTGTGTATCTCTCTCTCTCCCTCTCTCTCTGTCCCTCTCTCTCTCCCCCCCCTCTCTCTCTCTGTAACTCTCTCTCTCTGTATCTCTCTCTCTGTATCTCTCTCCCCCCCTCTCTCTCTCTGTATCTCTCTCTCTCTGTATCTCTCTCTCTGTATCTCTCCCCCCCCTCTCTCTCTCTATCTCTCTGTGGTCCTGTATAAGAAAATCAAATAAAGTTTCTTTCTTTTAATTTTCAGTAGAAACGAGGTACATAATAATATGTAATAGAATAAAAGCAAATCTCTTCCTTAAAATAACAACATCTGACATTTTTGCTGTTTTGGGTTACTAAAACAAGGAATGAGGTCAGAAACCATAATGTTCTATCAGTTCCATCAAAATCGTAACATTATCCGGAGTCGTTATCAAGAGATTAAAAGGATTGCGTTGCAAAAAGCTTGGCGTGTTGTGGAACTCAAATTTTCAACGTTAAATTTCTCAAAACTAGGCACAAAACAAATTTTGTTATTCTTGTGTAGTGAAATGCTTGCTAGATTGTATAATCTCACCTGCTCCCTGGAGTGAAGAAATCCATTCAGTGAGAATCTGTCTAGTGGTGTTTACCAAAATTGTTGTGTGTATTATTGTCAATGTCGTTTTTCTTGTTTTTGTTCTTGATAATGGTGGTATTCCTTGTGTTGTACCTTTTTCTCACAGACAGACTTGTGGTGGCTACGCTTCTTAGAAATGAGTTGCTTGCCTAACAGAGTGATGGCGGTCAGCTACTGTCCCCGTCCTGGTTCTGCTATTCACAAAGACCAATTCACGCCAGAGGTAAAAACCCCGACGTCCTCTCAACAGAAACATTTTGACCAGGAATGGCAGGAGGCTCTTACTGAAGGGAAGGAAGATCCACCATTAAGAACCTTCAAGAAACGGGAGGCTGTTGTGTGGAAGAGTGGGGCAAGTTTGACTTTACAGGTTGGCGAGGACAGGAAAAGAAGACGGCGTTTTGTGGATGGACGAGTTCCCCAAGAAGATGGTCTTGCGGGATCAGACACTTCCCCCAAACCTGATTCTCCGACTACTCCCGTGGTAGCGACGGACGCTTATGGTGAAACAGGTACACTAAGCGGAATTGTTCAGCCGATGTCACTTTCTGATAATGGGGACACAGTTTCTAAAGACGATGCTTCTATGTGGACAACTCACAGAACATCGTCCATACCTGGGTTTCAGGGCACCATAGCCGGACAAGGATCTCAAGTTGACCGCTTCAGACACGTGATTACTGATCTTCCCATCACAGACGTAGACACTGGTCTTGTTTTTATCAGTGCATCCGTATTTGCCTGCCACAATCATTTTGTCAAGAACCCCGCCTTTTGGGATGTGATGTTCGTCCCCAATACAGGGAAAGGCGTACACGGACAAGCTGAAATGGAAGAAATAATAAAGGAAATACCGAGCCCATCTTCAGCGATATTACCCTCAGTTGGTACCGCGAAAAATCTGGAGCTTTGTTACGGGGATGAAATTGTTACCTGTCGTGATAATTACTCCAACCAATTTGTTCTTAAACGTTGCCATGACACTATGGCGTTCATATTATACAAGGGACGAATTTACAAGAATCCTTTTTGTGTGGTTTGTAACTTCACTCCGCTTAGAGCTTTGTCTTACGTCCCTTTAAGGTTTTTTCTACAGGGTCGAGCAATTGGGATTTTTCACATCATAATGAAAGTCAAGCCGGACTTTCAATCTGTAACGTTTGCGTTGTCTACCGAGGCAGAAAAAACCACTAGATCTAGCATGCTATACCCTAACTGGAGGGAGTATGAGTGCCAGCTGAACTACAGAGAGCTGGCAGAGTCATTAGCAGCCGCGGATTATCAGGACACCAGTGAGGGCCAAAGTTCGTCTTCGACGGAAATCGAGGAAGAAGAAAAGAGACCCGAAGGCGATGCGCTTCAAAACTCTCAGTTTTCACTGTTAGAATCCAACACGACAAAACAAAATCTAGATCACTGTAAGTTGCTTTCTTGTCGGGTTGGTAAAATGCGCGACAACAATTGCGAGGCAGAATGGTACGTCAACTTTCGATTCCCACCGGTTTCTAAACCATTGTGTCCCGAATTTTTTAACGCTATGGAGCCTTTGATTCTTACATCCATCCATCAGTTTGAGCAAAAACTGTTTTCACCCTCTAGTACAGCGAGTCTCTTAGGCGTTTACAAAGGTGGTTATGTTTACCAGTACGTATTTACAGGTCGTTCATTCTTTGACCTTTCTCTAGATCGATCAGTTGTCAAAACAATCAAGTACGTCATAAGCAGCGTTCTTTTCTCGGCCAGCCCACCATTGACTAATGTATCCTTTTGCGTATTTCAAGGTTTAAACACGCACGGACCCATCCCTAAACATAATATTTCCTCTTGTTCAAAGGAGAATGAAGAAGCTCCCGGAAAAGTCTCTTCATCAAGCTTCGAGGTCACGTGTTCAAGCCAAGAGCGTAACTATATTTTTTCCTGGGTCTGCATCGTGACTCTGATCATGACAGTGGCATACATGACACAGTAAAAGTCAAAGCAACGATTAAAGCGGTTTTTCTTTAACGAAGTCGTGACGCTTTTAACCAGCTCTACACCCAGGAACAAAATTAGAATTTTATATTTAGCGTATCTATGCGAAAAGTTACCCAAAAAAAAAAAGGTTCTCAAACAGGCAACGAAATTCTAGCGGTTCCAAAAATCTGTCTATCATAAAAAAAATAACCTCCAGAAGTCGAATATTATTGTAGGAAAATTTGAATTATAATTGAAAACACGTTAGATTAAATATGTGCATTACGCAATACGCTATTATTTTAAACCTCTATTCAACGATCACAATGGAGTGGAAAGTAACGAAAGAGCCCTTCGCTGTTAAATCATAATTATCATCATAAAACTAGCCCTAAAAGAAGTTATAACGTCATCCTTTTTCACTTTTTAATTGATCGACGGTCCAGAAACAGTAAAGATCCATCTGAGAAAGTCTATATTGAGACACACTCAATGAGACCGCCCGCATAGAAGAAGAAGCGGGAGGTTGGAGGGCGCCCCTGTAAGGCTCCACTTCTTTACTTTCCCTCTGTTGTTTCTGTCTGTCTGTTTTACTTTTCCCGAGCATTAAGTGACCATTATTGTGCCTCTTTTTCTCAAACAAACTCAAACAAACAGACGGGGATGTGACTCAAATGAAATATTCCGCGTTGAGAGCACAGAATAAGTCGATTTGGCGTCGCAGCGCAGGATTAAAAATTTCCCGACAGATCTCCATTTTACAGAATACTTGAGTTAAGACTCAGAGCATCCACATTCAGACACACCAGTGTATAAAAAAACCTAAACTTTGGGAGGGAATATACCAGAGGTTCTTAGCAGGGCCGTCGAGAGCCTGGTCGGGCCCTAGGGCAGCGATCTCCTTCGGGCCCCTCCTCCCCCCCCCCCGGTCTCACCCACCCTCACCTGCAATTTAATAACCCAACAAATTAATGTACATAGGCATATATAATCACTTCACTGTAGCATATCTATTACATACCAACATACGCTCTCTCTCTCTCTCTCTCTCTCTCTCTCTCTCTCTCTCTCTCTCTCTCTCTCTCTCTCTCTCTCTCTCTTTTTTCTCTTTCTTTTCCCCTTGCTTTTCCCCTTGCTTGCGGCCCCCCCCAAACCCCGGGCCCCGGGGCATTGGCCCCCCCTGACCCCCCCTCTCGACAGGCCTGGTTCTTAGATAGCGGAATTGTAGAAAAGAATATCTAATATACACAAAGCCAATATAATGGATAGCAACGAATCACAAGGGCATTGCTGGCCTATTTTTCTGATTTAGGCTATGGACAAGGATGACACCACTAGATCTGTAGTTATTTTCTCAGTTATCGATACGCGGAAGTACTTGTACTTTAATACTTTCCAAGTTCTAGAAATCTTCTGGACACTTCTGTGGCGCTGACAGACAACAACAGTGGTAACAATAGTATTAGTAATGATGGTGTGGATGAAATCGCTGCTGTGACCTGTCTGTCGTTATGATTCGAACTGCGTCAACCTGTCATGATAAGTAATAAGGGCGTCTCCCCTGAAAACGTTTCTTGGGTACGTTACAATGGTTGTATACGGAGATCTGGGGAACAGTTAGGCGATATCCCTGGGGAATGATAAGTTCGCAAATTTAAAAGCAAACCCTCTTCCATGTATGCACCTGGGTTTCCACACAAGGATTAGGATCTGGCTTCGAGCTATTTTGGTGGAAGTCTTTTGGAATGATAATTTAAGCTCAAACTTTGATAATATTGAGCAAATCAAAATACAGTGAGTTCCTTTTATATCCCCTGATTTAAACCAAGAATAATACTATTATATTACCTTGTACCTAAGAAAATATGTATTTCAATGTTGTGAGAAATAAACTCTTTCCATTCGAAATAAAAAATGATGTTTCTGTTTCATTTTGGTCTTATTTGTGGACTAATTCTTCGAGTTGACTAAATTCAATACTTTTAATTTTCAGTTTGTATGGTTCCGTGAGTATCACACTCCAATTTGTGCTGAATATGAAAAATAATACCATTGCAGGCAGACGGATATACGCTAATATGAAACTTTACCATACTGGATTGAACCCACAACGCGGTCTTTCCGAGTTGGAAAGTCTCAGATCATCCGAACGTTTTACATGTTTGCGCCCTTTCACTGTTAGAAAAAAAAAAGACTTACATCCTTAAACCTCAAAGCCTGTCCGTCTTTCGTTTTGAATGTTGCTTTGAGAGAAATGTCAACAACGTTCTGAAGCTCACTCTCTGTTTATGTGGGATCTGATTTACTTTAAAAAGCTGCACCAGTCTGGTAACTTGGATGGTTTCCTCCCACTCAGATTCATGCTGAAGTCTTCACTTGGTTCCTTTTTTTTCCTTAGCGAAATGCCACGATTGTTTTAGAAGAAAGGTATTGCCCAAGCACAAACAGTAGTGATCAATCTTTTTTTTGAAAATGTGAAAGAGTATAGATTTAGACATCACTATCAATACCCTGGGTTATTTAAGACCCCCCGAGTTTGACGTCCACCTCTGAAAGGACCGAGCCAATAGGAAGTTCGTGTATGTGAAGTCCCTTTCTCAAAGATGCAAAGTCGGACCGAGCTGGGGCTCGAACCCGTAAACCCGCAAACTCACGATTGCGAGTCCAGCAATCAAACCACTAGACTACCGATGCCGCCCAATCCTTTTGTAGGTTCCTTTGGTTATCAAACTTTTGAAAAAGTAAACTATTGCCTGGTGTTAGTTCTGACCAAAATTAAATGGTGCCCTTTGTTAATATTGTGAAGTTGCTTTAGAGTCATCCATAAACATGGGAACGCGTGAATGACCTTCTGGCACACTCAGCGTCTTACCTAATAATGCATGAGTACATAGCTTATTAAAGTAGAGTTAGTTTTTAGTTTAGTAAGAGTTTTACCGGGCTCAAAACTACATAGTCATAGTATGTGCGCACGAAACACATGTCAGTTGTAGTGTTCACGACATTTCACAGTACAGCTTGGTTTTATTATATGGCCTTGTTAAACGTTTTATGGTAAACATTTAGTTAAAGAAACCCCCAGCAATGTACATGATTTTAAAAATAATCACTTACAATTTTGAGTATAGGTCAATTGTGCGTGTAAAATCGAGAATTCTGTTGGGATACAAACTTGTGTAGGCGTACATATGAAATTGCTTTCAGGTATTTCCAAAGTCCGGGCATTCTATCAGTATGGTATTTGAGTGATCATATTATAAACCAAAGCTGAATATCCAAAGACAGCGGCCGCAGAACACGTCATTGGCAAGTTTTGCTCAAAGTCGAATATGTACATTTCTCCCGTCAAGAAAAAAGGAATGCACGTTTAATCTAACTCCTGGAAATACATTATGTAGTAGTCCATACATCTCTCTTTTTCTTTAATTAATAATTTATACCAAGGCTGGTGGGTTTTATCTGTATGAAGAGGAATAACCAGCATTCAGTAATTAATATAATTGCTTCTTAAAGATTTTATTTTGAAAATTCTATTTTGGTTTACCCATCTGTGTAACAGCTGACGTATAATCAGATGTAAAACAGAATATCCAAATTCTAAGCCTAAGAATCAGCGGCGTGTGGTAGGGAGGAGCATGCAGCTTGAGCCCCCACCCAGACATCCACACTAAAAGCGACTTCTGATGAATAAAACTGAATACAAAATAAACAAAAGTTATAAGAAAAATCGAATCTTTTGAAAGCTCGTGGTTTTACGCCCCATCGACACAATTTGTGAGGCAGCGTGGTGGAATCAGGCTCTCGTCAATTTTTCAGCATATAGAGTTATTGGTACCATCTTAAAGCTTGTTCACTTGTCTTTATTTGGATGAAAAAAATATCCATTTATCTTTTTATACAAGTCGAGATATTTGCGAATGAAGGAGGTGGGGTTACCTGTTTTCAGCTGTAAAATTAGAGAAAAAATGGCCGCCAAAGATTAGTTATTTCCTCAGCTTAAGAGTCCGTGGTAACAGATAATTTACATTTTTTGTGCCTTTAATCAATGTTTTAGAGAAAAATCCACACAGAAATTAGTTCTTTAATGGGCATGAAAGATGTTGAACCAAAATACAAAAATTTGATAAAACTTCACAAATCTGCGGAAAAATGCAAGTTTCTTCACTTTGATTATTTTGACGAGAGCCTGATTCCACCACGCTGCCTCACATTTAGATTATTCAGTAGGCGGGAAACAAAACATTCCCCGATGAAAGTGTCCCACCACGAGGTGCCAAATGATACTAAGCCCGCGTAAGTCGAAAAGTTATCTGGTTAGTCTACTGTTACTACGCCTCCGGGAGAACGAGAATTGCCATTGATGTAGTCCTGGAGCCCGGACTCTTTAAATTGCGTTCTAACTTACTTACTTTTTAATTTTTCATCCTTTGTTGATGTTACGCGTCGAGGGGAGATGCAATTTTCTACGATAGGCCAGCTTCGCAGTTGTTTCAGTTGTGATTATTATGTTTTCTTAGGGTTTCCTTGACTTCTTCTATCCACCTTTTGCGTGGCCTTCCCCTTCCTTTATAGCCGGGGTGCTTGGTGTTGAAGGCTCTCGAGGCTGGCATACATAAGAGGTGGCCAAACGATTTTATTCTCTGTCTCTCTGTGTAATACACGCAGGACTCAGTGCCGATAGCTGCTCTTACTTCTTCATTTCTCTGCCAGTCTCGTCCTGTGATAGAGAATTTCTGAGCTTTGGTTTGCGTCATGCGTTATTGTGTCCTTAATATATATTATAAACAGGAGGGGCGATAGAACGCATCCATGTGGTTCTCCAGATCTTACTTTGAACCGGTCTGTATTGCCTTCCTTCATTCTTACTGAGCTTCTGCTGTTGGTATATAGAGCTCTGAAATGATCTAACATTAAAATTTGTCCCCTGACACCATACTTTTAGAGTGTTTTCCAGAGTGTTGCATGGTTTACTCTGTCAAAAACCTTCTCCTGGTCTATAAAGATGATGTTGGATTCTTTGTTGTGTTCGATTGTTTTCTCGCCTGCATATCTATCGTAATGCGAATACAGCATCCGTGCATCCTGTGAATTCAAACTGAGCTTTGCTCAGATTTCTCTCTACAATAGGTCTTATCCGCTATTCTAATATCTTTGTGTATATTTTCCCTGCGTGGCTTAACAAGGAGATGACTCTGTATGTCGTGCAGTCGCGTTTGTTGCCTTTTTTCAATAATGGGACCACTATGGCTTTATGCCATTCTTCTAGGCATTTCCTTTGCCCCCAGGCTCTATTGAAAATTAGCCTCAGCCACAGTACGCCGGTGTTTCCACAAGCTTTTATGGCTTCCGCTGTGATGTCATCTGATCCTGGGGCTTTGTTCTTGAGGCTGGTTTTGAGCGTCTTTTTGATCTCACTGAGAAGTAGGAGTGTTTCTGTTTGCTCTACATAAAATTACGGTTGGGACTCTTCTTGTTGTCAGTGGCAAGCGTCTGAATTGAGTGGTTCTTGGAAGTAATATTGAGTTCTAAAAGACTAATTAATTGTAACTGGTGTTAATCTTGCAAAAGTCTTAGCTAAAACAAAAAGACTGTTA